TTTTGTTTGTTTGATTGTCTGTCATTATATTTGAAATTAGGTCATAACTCTCGAGTCCATAAACTTACTATGCTTGATTAGGATATTTGTGTTTTCATTGACGTAGTCTCATAAAAATGTCACACATATTTTTATTAATTGGCAATGATGATTCTCATTTTTCTTTTAATAAAATTTTTACAATGAAAGATCTAAAAATGTAACTATTTTGTTTTGTTTTTTACTTAGTGCGCGTTGATTTGAATTATGACTATCAAAACTTATAAAAGAAGCCATGTTTTGTTTGGAATTGACAAAATATATGTTAATTATGTACCATTTTTCAAATTTAAACTCTCAATTGTGATTTTTAATTGAGAATATATTACACTTTGTTGTTTCGACGCTTTTATTCTGTACAATTTTGACTACAATTTCATTCTTGTTTGATTCTAGCTTATAAAGCAACCCATGTCAGGTTCAATTCAGGAAATTCTTTACTAGTATCATATTGGTTATAGAGGTTAGAGAACCCAAAACATTGCTAATACTTAACTTAGTTATTGTTGAATAAGCTTAGTGTTACTATAGTTAGTGATATTAATGCTAGTTTGGCAGTATATTTAAGAACTGCTAGTATCTTGTTGTAACACAAACTTGGGGTTTTTGAGTGAATAACTTATGTTTCCTTGGATGTAGCCTTACCGAGATGATCCGAATTTCTTCTGTCGGGTACGATCAATTCTATTTTTCCATTAAAAGAACAAAGAATATATATTTTTCATTTATTCCATGTTGATTTTTCTAGTTTTGATATTATTTGATTTGGTTTGATTTTTACAATCTTGAACTTTTATTAAATCTTTCCGTCTTTGATTATTTTACGGATATATGTGTTCATTACATTTTGAGAATTTTCTTAAAACACTGGTAAGTGACGTATCTATCAATTGACGATAGTATTAATATGTCAATGTTTAATATAATGACTCTGAGCTTGGGGTTAATAAGAAATATGTTGGCTGTTCTTTCACGTAAATAGCGTAGCATCTTTTGTTGTCGGTCAAAAGTATTATAATACTAACGTGCTAATCGTCAGAATCTAGCTTTACAATGGCATGTGATATCATTTCGCAAAATAAATGAAAAGGGAGTTTATGAGTCCTCCGTAAGTTTAACCAGTTACGGGGTAAGAAGGTCATAAAGGCTACGTCATCAGGTTCGTAGAATTCTCTAGGATTCTAAGAATGGTCAGAGTCCCGAGATGCCTTTTGTCGAAAGTCTATAAGAATCTACTGATGCGTACATAATGTAGCCTTTTTCAAAGAGTCAAAGCAGCACGTCGTGCACAAGGATATTATATTATTCTTGTCAGAATTGCTTCGTTAGTGGAGCAAGATCCCACTCCAAGTTCAATGGCCACAACGGACTTTAAAGTTCTACCTCTCCTCGGTATCTAACAGCTAAATACTCAACAGGGTGCTCGCGTCCTCAGATCACTCTCACGAATTCAGAGGAATTTCACTCGCCCTGAATGTTAGCTCGCCAGCTAAGGCCCAAAGGTGGAGCGAGGTTTTCCCAAATTTCAAGCAATAATTATTGGGTCCATCTGGTGACGAGCTCAGCCCATGATGTGAGGATCTGGTTTCTTCGCCTTTCGACGGTCGTGAACATCAAATCGATTCGTGTCGTGTACTTGTAACTCGGACAAGATTCACGTCTGAGACACGCTCTGACGCTATGGTGTGTGAAGCACAACATCACATGTATCACAAACCGGGAGTTACGAACAAAAAAGTGAGATCAGTGTCGCGTACATGCCGAGCCAAAAGATTATGTATTTTAAAGTACAGATGCCTCTCGTGATATGACACCAGATTCAAGGCGGGGGGTGGGGGAAACGAGGATCGACTCATTTCATTTTCAATCGCGGTCAAGTTGAGAGTTATGAGCGGGGGGGGAACATGAGCTCAAAGGTTTCTCTATCCTTAATGCGCATTCTATAAACCGAGCGTTACGAGCTCACAAACACTTGAGAGAGTGGTCCCATTTTAGGACAGCGAGTTGACACCAGTAATTGTAACAGGATCGTGATAGACGCCAGGTATTTCTTTCAGATAAGCGTATAATTATTTAACAGAGGTCCTCTTTCGGAGTGTCATTCTTCGAGAGATGAAGTATTTCTACATGTTTGCCGTGATCCTGTGTCTTGGATGGCAGGTGTCCCTGTTGCGCAGTGAGAGTTTCGGAATCTATTGGTAAATGATTGAATTAAATTCTGATCACTTTCGCTATTGATTGAAGTAGGAAGGGCCGTCAGCTTGTCGGGATGGAGCATGATGGCAAGGTCAGAGCCCAGAAGAGATTAGAGTCGCATCAAAAATGTGTGCTTCTTGAATGAAGGCTGACTGACTGAGAGTGACTGCGAATCAATAAATTGGAAGAGTTGGAAGCCAGATGGACTGAGCGTTGCCATCGACGGGGCTCCGTCGATTGCAATGATAAGGAAGGAAGCTATTGCACATGTCCGGTCAGAGAAGGTGCTTAGAACAAAGCGCCGATGGAATTCGAAAGCGTGGAAGAAGGGATTTCAAACGTTTCGTGAGCGATGGGCACCATGGCCAAAAAAAAAGAAAAAGAAAAAGAGTTTAATTTAACGTAGGCTCCTGATGGTTTCGACTGCCGCGAACATTCATCACGTGGCCCCATCGGGAACCGTTTCTTCGAATACTTTTGATTGCGAATGGGGATGCATGCGGGACGGTCGACCTCTGATTCCGCCGAAAAGGTTTCGGGGACAAAGTTAGCGAGAAAGAAACTCCTCCTCCGATCTCAGCAAGCTATCTCTTGGCCTGCAGCTTTGACTACTGGAACTGGGATTCGTGAAAATTGGCTCCAATTTGTGGGTCCCTAATCACGAGATCGACACAGATACCACGACGGAAGGAGCCGAGAAACTGAATCTAGACCCTTTTGCAAAAGCTCCTGTCTGTTGTTGGGGTCTTGCCCACCATGGACTGGAGGTGCGCTGACCTCGACACTGTATCATCGACAAGTGGCTGGCCCACTCGCCTGTCCCACACACCACTTTGCTAAAGACAGCAGCTCTCCACGGAATGATGCAACTTTTGTCGCCGCACTTTCCCATCATGCGTAACCGGACGCTAAGAGCAGCTGATAGGAGAACCTCTGTGCTCGCTTCTCTCACCAAAGGCATCACTTCATCGCAACCATCTCAGGGATCTGTTCGTCGTAATCGCGGTTTTACAATGGGTTCAGCTGTAGTTGACTGACTGCACATGTTCCTGCGTTATCTTTATCTTCAGAACCAGTAAATTCAGAAAGGCCATCTTGTCACTTGCTGCTCCACCCTGCCTACGAACACGTACAGCTCTCAGCTCAGCGACAAGCTGTTTGCTGCTAACAGGCACGAGCAATGCAAACAGTTCGCAGAAAAGATGGCGACGAGTCGACAGAAATAGTGGGTCGTGGAAACGGAGGATGCCATAACCTTGGAAAAGTCCACGGAAGGCTCTCGGATATTTCAAGTCGAAAAGAAAGTCGATTTATTTGCTGTGCTGCAAAGCCACGCTTTTCACCGACTCCCTCTCCTACATATCAGATTTTGCTTGTCACGGCAGCGTAAACTCGAGCTCATCTGGGTCCACCCCTGCCCCGGAAAAGGCACTGGCGATGACCCTGCTCGAGATTCCCCAGATTCTCTACAGGTCAGGCCTAGCAGGCGACCGCACCGTTTGACCTGATTATGTCATGACGTGCGGTAATCGGTTTCGCCCTCTCTGCCTCCCTCTCTCGTCCTTGTTCTGCTCAAGGGAGCCCGTGCCTCCGCAACCTGGACTGTCGACGAAGCTCGGTGCTCGGAGCCTGCATCTGATAAGCTACCTCTGAACGGATGTTCAGGAGTCGGAAGGAAAGTGGATGTTCCGACCAGATGGTTGCGAACGAGCCAGCCACAGCCAATGCCAATGCCCTCAGCTAAAAATATGTCCATGGGATGGATGCTGAGAGTTTCAGGCCTCCTGTACAAATCATAATGTACTCGGTCCGGACTTTGCAGCCCAGAAACTGCCAGTTCTCAGACTGCAGCCTCAGATGACTGAACAAGCAAGCATTCAGTCGACTGAAGACCATTCATCTTCAGGGGCTTTTCCAGTACACTCCAGGCTCTCGGAGGAGAGAACAAAATTCGTTTCCAGGACGATCGTGTCCAGACCTATAAACAGATGGAGTTAACGATCTTCACATACTCTGCCACCTGAGAGTCTGTGAAAAGCTTGGTCGCAGTAGTAAATGGTTTCCCCTGAACATGCGGCTTGAACTTTCGAAGCTTGTATAGCTTGTCGGACGGCACCCTCGTAGCTGAAAACGATGAATAATAATACAGTGTCGCAAAAGATTCTCCCTACAGCGTTTAGATAATACTTGAGAGCCTAAACAGTCGTGACGCGGATATGACAGCGGCCTTAGCGGCCATACAATTCCACTGGCATAATTTAGCAAGTCCTGGGAAACGACAATTTTAGCAAAAACAGTGCTGGTTTTTCTGGATCAGGAATCTGAATCCACCGCGAGAATGCAACGCAAGAACGATGAGAACGATATACGATGTCCACGAGCACCAGATGAAGGACTCCGGTGATGGTGGCCCAATCTGGGCCCAGTTCCTCCCCGATCATAAGTTGCTCGATCAAATTTAACTTATGTATATTCCAAGAAAGCATATGCTGGATTGAGACGGGAGCAGGCGTGATTTGCTAATACTGGAAAGCGAACGATTTTCTAGTCTTGGACGAAGGTCCCTGGAATTTGACCTTTTCTGCTGTTGGTTTTGTTTACAGTACGGAGCCTGGGAACCCGGGGGACGTGCTGGGAACGCAACAGGGAGCTGACGTGACAACCTCCTTGGCCCCATGAAAGGGCAAAGCCATGCTTACCTGAACCGGCCCAGCACTCTCAGTAGAGTATAAATTGCGCCCCGGGATTCACTCTCCATCAGCAATCTCATAGCTCTCAATCCCAGTCTCATACAATTCTATAGCAGTTCTCCGTCCGCTCTCACTTCTTTCGTCTCGTTACTCTCGTCACTCGCCTTTCATCATGTCGGGCTGCGGAAACGCTAACTGCAACTGCGGAGCCTCGTGCTCAGGATGCAAGTCAGTGCCCAATTGCTTTCGTTTTGGCAAAGTACATTGGATGGATATGCAGGGGGAGAAGGCTGCATAGAAGATATCTTAGCCTTAAAGACCATGTCAAATCTGTGATGAAATTCGCGGAAAGCAGGAATTAGTCGATGCACTTGTTGCTTTCTCTGCGATATATTTAGGCTAATGAAGTGAGGGGCAATGAATCTAACCTTTTCCCTTCGTGACTGATGCAGCTGCAAGAAGAACATGGACGACTCCATGATCACCACCGGGTAAGGCAACGGCGCATTGAATCTGCTAGAAAGGATGAGATGAGATCATCTGTCTATTTGAAAATTCTGATCTATGCTGACGGTGGAAAAGCAGATTTTCAGTTCTACCTGCAGCAACAATTGTTGCTAGTTTGATGTTGAGTCACAATTGACTCCGGTCGTCAACAATTGCAGAGTCTGATGACTCTGCACATGCTCTTGGCTTGCAACGAAATGAACTGAAGGGTTGATTTTTGTGGTTTCGCAGATTTGAGTGCGACACTCCCGGATGCGCCTGCAACTCCTGCTCCAACTGCGCACCCAGCTGCGGCTGCTCCTCATGCTCATGCAAGTGAATGTGACTGCGTGACTTCGAAAATGGCCGAGGGGACTGATTGCATTGATCTGACAGATGTGGAGGCCAGTCAAGGTCTCTCCTGAGACGGGAATCGATCTTTTATGTCATCTAGCCTCGGAAGCAGCAGCTCAGCAGTTGGAATGAAACTTGTTCAGCGCAGTGTTTGTAATAAATGTAGTTCACGATGACACCTCGCTTGTAATGTCGTCTTTTCTACACATTTGGTTCTTCGCTTCCAGTCTGCTGCTTGAAAACCTCTTTCAGGCTGAGACATGAAGCGCTGCTTTGTGTATGTGAATAAATTATACTGACGCGTCTTAGACTACGAATTCTCTCGATTTTTCTCGAACATTTTGTCTGTGCCATATTCTTAACGTCTGAATACGCGGGACTCTATTTCGGAACTTGATAACGAAGCTGCTGACACTTCCTTCCGTCGCTCCGTATCAGGGAGTGCAGTTCCCTCTAAACGCTGAATTATTAGTAGAGCATGATCTGAGGAATCACTGAGGATAAGAGAGAATAGTTTCCGTCATTTATGATACTAAAAGTGAAGCTTCCGGGTCTAAGTCAAGCTTTGAGACAGTCGCAGTCGACAGAATAGTGTGCTGAAGCTTTTCGTTGCCATCATTATGCTGCCCACAGTCAGTATTCGCTTGGATCCTGCGAGTGACAATTCTTCATACGCCGTCTGACGTCACATGTGAATGGGTAGGCTCTGACGTGTTGTTTGAACAGCAACATTACTCGAGATGTACAGTGGGATTCTGCTCCTTGTCATCCACCCATAGCCTTGCTGTTACAGTTCATGTCTCAATTTCCGGAACACTTTCTTCTTTTTCTACTCCAGTGCAGCTCTGTTCGGCAATTACTCATCGGTCTTCACTTCAGTACAACCTTTATCAATTTTGACATATTGGTTTTCCATTGGACATGACAATAACACGTGAAAGACACTTCATTTGCAGTTTTGTACAGCTTTACAGTACATTTGATGTATGGCATGTTTTACATTCTATCGTAAGGTATTTTTTCCGAAAAGAACCTGTTCCATCAAGTTCGGTAATCTTTGCGGTATTTTTATGTTTCCATAAATGTAAATCTAGATCTCAATACAATAGATTATTTTTAGATAATTAATATTTTCGAATTGTGAAATTTATTACTTGAAATTAAAACATATGTATCCACATTTTTAATGTTAACATTTCATTGAGAGATGATGATATGTAAATTTTAAGAAAGCACAAAGCATCATATATGATTGGAAAAAATATGAATTATCATATTTTGGATGTGTTATCTATTGCACTTGTAAATACTGTATACAAAAACAATATATAGGGTCACTATGATATTTATGATATATTTTCATATATATACACCATCTTAAAATTTGAAATTTTTTAAAGATTTATTTTACTTCTATAAAATTATCATTTTTGAATATACATATAAAAAACCATCAAAATATAAAATTTAAACTTTTTTACTTGCAACAATGATATAATAATCGTTCTTTTCTAAATGTAATGACTTCAAAAGTTTTGTAGGGGAAGAAATAAAAAATAAAATCTTCAAAACCTTTCATGCGCCACCCAAATATCTCAATGTATACCAATCTTAACATATCCATAATTAATATATATTTACCATTACATTGTATTCAACGATCGCATTACACATATTCTACTCCATAACAAATCTCAGCATTAAGTCAATGTACAATTGTTCTCGTCCCAGTGGGGATCCTGCAGTCATTTTTGAACAGTAAAATTACAAATTAATGTGACTCTTGATGCATTAGATTCGTATGAATTGCATTAACATAAGTAAATGTAATTCATACGAGTTCATGCAATTTATACAACTGTTCTAGTAGAAAGTCATGATTGCAAATGATTTGTGTACATTCGGACAACCACCCTATTCAGCTTATGAATCTTACAAAATTCGATCTCGCAGAATTCAGAATATCGTCTCGTATATGCATTTGAAGTACACAATCAGTCTTCGAAAAAGAATGATTAACTCATCTGAACACCATGTGAACGTTTAAAGATTTTGGGTCTCCCGTTCATTTTACTACCTACTTAGATCCGTTTTGTACAAACCTTTGCATAAATCTGTAGAGGTTACTAGAATATAAAGAAAAAGTAGTACAATTCATAAGACTCGTGGCCGATGAGCAACCTTTGGCCAGAATGCTTGTTATCCACCCAATCTCGGTACTGAAAACAGACAGCGACAAAATATATTTTATATCACCGCTCTCAACATTGAGAGACCGAGTTAAGCAAAGACAGGTGAAGATTATTGCGTATTTAAGGTCCTGTGGCAGGCTGCAGAGTGCAATATTCTCAGGCAACGTCCCGTGTACGTGAATAATTCTTCTCTTTAGAAAAGGTATATATGTTTTCTATACGAGATTATGTAGTAGGGAAAGTTTCTATTCTCTGAACAGGCTCGTACAATTGCTAGCAGACCAATCTCATTGATTATTCCTTTTATTTAAGAAAAAACCCGATTAGCACTATTTTCAAAGATTCTTGCCTAGTAAATTGTACTTTTCAATTTATCGGTTATTTATATATTTCTTTTATTCCACCTAGACCGTTCTTTTGCTCGCTAACGATATACTCTTCATGTGGAAATATCCTTATCATTTCTTATTTTATTCGTCGGCGCTTGGTGTAGTGTGAAAATTTTATTGTAATCTATTTTCTCCTAAACCATAAAATTCAGGGAAAGTCATGTGATTTTCGAGAGTAAGGACTTTCAGAGTAGGTGATATTTCAAACATTTCACAGAGGGTGACATCGGAATGGTATGCTAGAATCATCATGCTGCTTTTACAACTGGCAACCATTCAACTTCGAATATGCGTATCTCTGAGTAGGTATGGAGAAACAAATTTTTGATGTCTATTAAGACAGAAAATTATGGACGTCCATTGCTTGATTGCTTGGATTTCAGTACAATTGTTCAAGAAAAATGACTTCGACGATTTTCCTGCGTCCCTAATCTAACTCTAATGTCAGCTCCAGCTGACAGCAGTTGGCTGACTGAATTAGTAAAGATAATGACAATTCAGGGCCAAGATATCAGCTTCGAGAAAAGGTTCTTGCCTCCGGGACGATCGTGAAGTACTGCCCAACTTCACGAAGCAACAGAAAACGCCGGCAAATCCTCAGGGCCGCTGTTGACTGCTCGTGTACACCACCGATCGAAATCACAATGTGCCACCGCCTTCAATCGACGGGTTTAACTAAGGGCTTACCAGTGACGAATGACGTGAACAATGTGAGGGCTCTTGCAGGTTGAGAATATGGCACCATGTGTGCAGCAGCTCTTACGGTGGCAAATGTCAGATTTCCGTAACTCTTGGTCCACCCTGCCACCTGCACAAGGGGATTCAGTCTATCATTGGACTAGACCGAAAACCTGCCTGCATCAACGTGGTTCAAATCACGACGCCATCTGGTTCATGGCTGGATGGCTGCAGGAAAGATGTGTCTTACCTGTTTCTGGTGATACCAAGCGGTGTAGTCCACCGTGGGTTTCAGTTTCAAACTCTTTGCAAGATCATTGATGTTTGTTCTCGTTCCGATAAATGGAACCACCTGATCCGCATCTCCGCTGCACAAGCAGGGGCCAAACTCGTCATCCCAACAGATTCCAAATTCGCCTTTCTAAATAAGATTCAAATGAACGCAAACGCACACTGTTCCTACAAATCGGGAAGAAACTGAACGCATTGGAAAATTCCATCTCAAAACGTTCAAATCCTAAAGCTCTTTCGTCAGTGAACATATCACTAACATACCTGTACACCAAGATTCTAAGGTCATGTCGAATAAGTTCGCCTATAGTTGGAAGAATGTCCAGTGTATAATTTGAGAGGGAGTAGTGCAGGACGCTGCATGCAGAAGTATCAGAGTGAAATCAGCTCCCACGCAATCTAATTTCATCCTGACCTCTCAGAACTATCAGCGTTTTTACACGTACACATCGCGTCAGTCATATCAAAAGGCCCAAGGCCGTCACGAGAATATTAGTGAGAGCAATCCAACATCAAATCTGAAAATCTGAAGAATCGACTGGTCAGGGACATTGACAGTACTCTGAGGAACTGCACTGTTTGTAAGAATGATTGAGATTTGTGGTATTCGCATGAAGAGCTTTCTGCACTTCGGGCTTATTCAAATATGTCTCCATCTCCAGAACGATGCAGACATCCACTCCGAGACTCCGACGTGTTATCTGTCAAAAACGATAACCAGCGTGTACTTCCAACTAAATCATCTGCGCGCATGCCCGCGAATGCCGTCTGCTAGATCTCCAACTGGAAACCCAAAATGTCTACACGACATTAGTTCAAGTACTCACCTTTTTCTTCAGTCTGAGCTCCTGTTCAGCCACGCCCGGCAGGCACACGTCTAGGAAAACGTCGTAGTCGTTGATAAACGGGCCTTGCTCGTCATAAGCTGCGGACATGTGTTCATTGCATTCTTCTGGAATGCCACCAGTGAGCTCGAATTGCGTGAAATCGCAAGTTCTAGTTATAGCCTTGTAGGTCTTGTCCGAAATCATTCCGTGTGACCACATGTACGTGTAGACGGCGGCCGCATCGACCCTGAGTCGGATCAGAGGGTTCCCTAGCTGCATGTGCGAATGAAGACACGAAATCAGCGTGGGCGTGAGTTGATTGTTCATTGATATCAGAAACAATCTTCAGTCCGGAATCACACGTTCGCAGTTCGCGTACTCATGATTACAAACTTAGTGGCCGTGGCGTCGGTTACAATAACGATACTTTGGAGATGGTGTGAAAGAAGAAATTGAATTCACTCTCGTACCGCAACTCCAATGAGGTTGAATGAAAACCCTCTAGTTGGATTCTCGTTGTACTTCAATACCAATTGCGCCAGCTGAGGAATGTAATGCCCTGCAGTCAAATATAGACGAATTGAAAATTCAGAAGGGTAGGACTGACTGCACTCAAGGCCATCACATCACGAACCGATAAAACTGCTAAAATGCAGTGCTATGCATTCATAGACTCATCGAGAATTGCCGCCCAACGATAAACAAGCTCATCACCAATTGTCACCAGCGCAAACGCAGAGAAGAAATAGACACCTGCATAGCTTTCTCCAGTGAGAAAAAACTCCCGGCTCTTGTATTCTGGAAACTTCTCGAACCAGTTCAAGAGAAACATCATATTATCTCGGGCTGCGAAGAAACAGCATTGTAATCAGCTCACTGTCAACTAACCCACTCAGGAGGAGAACGGAATCTTAGTAGGCCTGGCCTCCCATAGGACTGAGCTGCAGTCCATGGGATTCACCGACAGTTTCTGAGATATGGAATACTGTGCAAACTACACATGCGCTTCGAAAACGGCACAGACGACAGTAATGTTGCATCTTGCAGGTCAAGTTGCGTAGATTAAATATACGAACCCGTGCTATCATCCGTGGCAGACAAGTAATCAGACGTCGTGTTCGAGTAGGACCAGCCAACCCCAGCTGGGGACTCCAGGAAGAGAAGGTTCGCAACTTGACACAAACAATCCAGGCCACAAGTCAGTACCCTTCCGGAAGTCGCGCGGACATTTAGAGATGTTCGGATTTATGCGGGATTTCTATGAAGTTTTAGTAAGACAAAGCTCAGTAGGACGAATCTCACAAGTACGGAATAATATGCCAACCTTTGTTCCAGGAATGTTGGTTTTTCACGAGTCCATCGGCGTAGCCATTTGGGAAGAAGGGACCCAGTTCCGTGAAGGCCCCACCAGCCACGGAGGAACATCCTGGTCCTGCACCACAAGAGGCACTCATGATTCAGCAGGCAAGTATGACCAACTAGGGCCCTTTAACTCTAGGCCTCAACAGTACTATGACTGAAGACTACTTCCTCCCGACAACCTCCACAAGCCAACGGAATCGCTGACAATGTGTACGCCTACCTCTCCCTAATCTACAGAAGACTTCAGCATTGTGTCAACAGATTTCTAGACCCGAAACAGTGACACCGACCTGCGGTTCGATTTTCCTCAGATCTATTAAAGGCCCGTAGATAATGCTCGCACTAAGGAAGAGTACAAAGTCTGAAGAAAAGTATGACCATGCTTTCGATCTATATCTTCTACTGCATCCTTAATGACACCTAAGCTATAGACAGCATTGCAGTCCTCGTTGGGGTATATAGACGGATACTCAATCTATGAAGCTTGGTGTGCTGGTACAACATTCGTCAGTGCACCGATCACTTGCATGTGTAGGCTTCGGCTAGTTTAGTATTGCAGACCGGGACTCACAAACTTCACCATGTCCACGCTCAGTTTCGAAAACATTCGTTGCACAGACCCGGGATATAGTAAGAGCAAACCCTGCAAATAGCCTCGACTGGGAGCATCCGGAGTGAGGATATAATATAAGCAGGAAATTTCATGATCATAGTGCCAGTCACCTACCCCCGTTCAGCCACAATATCAATGGTTTCTCTTGGGAATCGTGCTCAGCCTCCACGAAGTAGTAGAAGAGTGCGCGGCCATGGTCTACGTCAACTGTCACGTATCCACTGTATTGTCTGAAGTCGACATCAGGTTGGCCTGGCAGCTTCGTGATAAGGTCACTTTCCGGCGCACACCCGCAAGTTGATAGAGAGCATGCCATGAGCAACGCCAAAATTGTCCATAGGACCCTCACGTACCGAAAAAGGCTCGAATTCATCGAGCTCGCCATGGGATTACAAAGTCCGCATGCTACGGGACAGGTACCTAATCATCAAAACCGATGTCAATTTCCAATCAGTTAACCAGAATTGTTTCCGACCTCGACGTTGATAAATTCTAGCTTTCGCATGGTTACATTCCACATGAGAGTGTTTTGCGAGCAACGTGTCAAAATGCTGAATCTCTCGAGCTGGAATTTTGCTACAATTTTATCAGCAACACAGCCTGGACTCAATTCCAGTGTGCTAGTGGGGAAGACTCGTGGAATCCACAGGGCTAGACTGCACAATTCAGCACGAGCTCGTTCATTCATCCACCGACTGTGGTCAGACGACGTTCGAAGGTGCCCAGCTATGAGAAAAGAAACCCACTGCATGTCCTCCAGAACTGGCAGTTCTGGAAAAGGCGAACTTGCAGTCGGCCTACCAATCAACATGATCGCGAAGGTTGGAGAATGAAGGAAGACTTTTCCAACCTTCACGCCCGGCTGAACAGATCTCCAAGCGCAATGAGCAACGAAGGAACTAAGCTACTTCGAAGATGAGTGGCCACAGATGAACAGCTTCAGAGTTGGACGCGAAAGAAAGAGAGCGAAAGCGAAGAGAAAGAGAGACTACAGAAGATCTTGGCCGACAGTAGCCAAGCTGGAGAAGGGGGCGCTCGAAGCCTTTTTCGCGAGCAGCAGCAGCATACGCTTACAGCAACGTAGCAATTTCAAAGTAAGCACACACCAGACCGACCCGAGAGCATGAAGACGAGACGGTGAGAAGAAGATTCCAAGGTCGAGCAGCCGACTCGCTTCATGCATCTCGCTACACTCAGGACCGAAGCAGTCACGAAAATTCCGACATCCGGCCACTTCATACATAGCATATTGCAATTGCAGAGAACCTGAACCTGAACTCATTTTCAAAGACAAGGGAGGGAAAGAATAACACCTCGAGCAGGAGTGTTGACGAGTAAGTCGCACAGATCGTTTTACTCGCGACCGCTGCTGGCAGAGCTGAAAAGAACTCAGTTGAACAGGACCGGACTGGACTGAACTGGACTGGGCTGGGCTGGGAACTGTACGAGTTGCACCAGACCAGCGCTAGTGGCAATAATGAACACCCAAGGAAGGGGAGGAGGCAGCCACAGCAGCAGCAGCAGCAGAGGGACTGAAGGGCGGGCGGGGGGGCGTCCTTTGTCGTCGTCGTCTCCTGCTGCAAAATGAATGCAAAGGGCGGAAGAAAGATGAAGCAGAGGGCAGGCAGCCAATCCCCGATGCGCGCTCGACTCCTGTCTAAGCGAGCTGGCGGTCGGGCGAGCCTGCGGGCGGGGGGCCCCCTCAGAACCTGGCTAGCTGGCTTTCACGTGTGGCAAGATGCAGCTAATTTAATCTACCGTAACGCAATCACCAGTATACTACTACTCGCCAGCAGTCATCTCTCACCCCCTCTCCCTCCCCTCCCTCCCTCCCTCCGTGGATCTTCAGTCGGCCGCCTCGCCTCGCCTCGCACTGTTGCTTCCCGATCTATGCCGATCGCCTGTATGCCCTTCCTGCTCCTCCTCCCTCCTGCTGCTGCTGCTCTTCTTCCTCTGCGTACACTGGCTCATCATATACTCGTCTCGGCTCTGAGTCAGTGACCGCCGCCTCATTGTGCCTCGCAGTCGTCGTCGTCGTGGTGCCCCGGCCCGCTTGACTGGATCATCCCTCCAGCCCTCCAGCCAACGTCTGCCGCTACATTATGCCATCAAACCATGCCGCCATGCACGGCTGCGTATGACGGCGCACCCCACAAACCTCAGGCCTAATCACGATTACGGCGGCGTAAGTATGTACTGCTCCAACTCCCTCTCCCACTCCCATGCTCTCGGGCGGGCGGGCAGGCGGGCTGCTTTCACATTCCATGGCTTTGTGAGGCTCGAGCTGAAGTCCCGGTAGACCCCGAGGCGAGGCACGTACTGTACCGGCGTCGCTTTTGTACAGCACACGACTGCGAAAACGGAAACGCAAACCAGCATTCGATGGGAGCTCGGAGCTCGGGTTGGGGTTGGGGATGGAGATGGAGATGGGTCCGGGCGTAAAGCGGGGACGTACCGTATTTAAAATGGCAAACAGTTGGTATAATTGGTTGGGTGAGGGGCATTTTCTCTCGGGCTTACTTTCGTAGACTGACAGCAAATAGATGTACGATCAATAACTCTCGTACTTGCAAGGAGCTGAGATCTGATCGTTTTCTAACGATAAGCTTTAACAATTATAGAGGAGTCGAGCGGAAATGGATGGCTTCATCAATCGATTAGTGCCTCATTACCTCAGCCTGAGATGTCATAGCACGGCTCCATCGTTCATTCTATCCAAATGATCGAAATTGTACTTCCTACTTACAGCGTAGGTAATCACGGCTTCTCATAGGATTAACGACCTCAATTTATGAACATAAACACGTGATTAAGTAGGCCCTTTAAAAGGGCTTGCAACTCATAGATTCTTTGCGCCGGTACCAATGACCTAATCAGATCGATCGCATCTGATGGCATGACCGTGTATTCCATGTACATGACTGAGTATTTCGAGACATGTTCTCGCTCATTCCATCGGGGGGAGTCGTGGACTGCGCGAGAGTAACGGTTCGAACCTACCAGGGCCTGGGGTCTTACGGATTAGTATGTATCTTAATCACACCAACCGGACGTACTGCTCAAGATCCATCGAGTGTCGTCTGAGTACATTATACTGTTTCGGAATTTAATGAATGCCTGCAGGTCACACATTTGTTCCCCATGGCAAAGGGTGGGGAATAATTATTCTCCGGTGTGATGAACAGTCGCTCTTGCTTACCACATTAAGGAGCTCCTGCGCTCTGTAGATTACTCAGTCGACATTACAACTGAAACGAAATAAAATCTCCGCGATATTCAAGCTCGCACGGGTGCATTACATCTGTAGCTTATCTTCGGTGTGTCTTAGACGGTGCCGTTGGGGTTTTCATTGGCGCGAGCTCGACTGTAGTGCCCCAAGGATGCTCTCCAGGTGCGGACTCTTTACTGGAAGTTTGAATCTTTAGCCGTAGCTCCTATGCAGAGTCACTGCCGACGGACGGGACGCGATGCAGCACAAATTATTGAGAAGGTTCCTCATTCATTATAACTTTCCTCTTCGTTCACATAAATGTTCAAATTGCTCCCTCGACTCTCCCACGTTCGAGCACAAATGACAAAATCAGAACTTCTGACACCACAGGGCTTTCGGTATCCTGAGTCCCGTAGCCGTGTCTGCCTCGTTCAGCGAACGAGGCAGTTTACCGTTGTCTGAAATATGTTTTGTTGGGCTCTCATTCCGTTTCGCCCGACAGATTGATTATAATCCGGACGGGCACTGGCCATCGAAACTCATTTGTCCAGTGCTGCCTCCTGCGGCCGTCCGCATAATGCTTCACAAGCATTATTATTCGGAGGGTGTCATAAGTTTGCAGAACGTGGTTCCCAATAGCTGTTTGAATTCGATGATCAACAGTTCTCGATGTTTACAAGCATGCGTAGAAAACGAAACATTATCCGAACTTGTAAGAACATGTTATCCAACAGTACAATGTCCTGCACAGGGTTCCCATTTCTCTTCTTACAATCTGTTCCTCTCGCTCCTGATTTTCTCACTGCTTTCTTTAATCATTCTTTATTCCAACGAAATAAACATGTCACGATGCACCTGATCAAGCAGAACTCATATTCATCTCTTTATAATCACTTCTATTACAACGTATATCTCTAGAGAAGAACATAACATAAAAGAATCAATCTATTCAATTTTCAATAAATTTATATTCATTTTAGAAACTCTTGATTCTTAAATTTTTGAAATCATCACTTTTGGATATAGTGTATACATCTAGGGAAGTTTTAATAAAATTGAAATTTTTTAAATGTTCAAATTGATTCTTTGAAAACACATATATAAAATTTTGAATTTTTTAAACATTGAGATAATAAATCTGTACTAAAACCATTTAGAATAATATCAAATTTATAACACTGTAGGAAAAAAAATTTGAATAGCCCAATCCCCAAGACAGGTCAAGCATTCACTCTAATTTGAAAAGTAATATTTTATGGTTCATATTTGTAATACCTTCTTCTTTTTAATTCAATTTTGAATAATTTTTGAATAAATCTCTACTTGGAACATTTTAAGATTCTACATTTTTAAAAAAATAAAAAAAATTACTGCCCTACAGTAGCATAACAAAAAGGTCCAGCTCATGCAGCACTATGTTGCATAAAAGGGGGCCAACCCCTTCGCACTCTTTATCAAAATTTCATATAATGATATAACTTTGAAATTTATTTTTAAAAATAATGGTTTTTATTTTTTCAATTGAATATGAAAAATAAATGTGTTAAACTGAAAGATGGATTATTGTATACTGAAGTAATATGTCATTTCAACTTCGTTTCAAAAAATTATGGAAATGCTCATTCGCATTGCGGATGCGAATTACTTTAAGATAGAATATTACATAAATTATATTTTCTATTTTTATATTAATTTATTTCAAATGATTGTGAATAAGAAAAATAATTTATTCTATCATTAACTTATTAGTGTAAATTTTATTGATATGAATTTTGAAATAATGAAAAAATATTTTTGTATGATTAATGCATCAAAATCAACATATAAAATCAATAGAAAAATTATGGATATTTTTTGGTCATTTCAATTGCATTTAATTCTTGACACCAGAAAAATGAAGTTTATAATCAAAAGAAAAATTTTATTTGGATTTTAAATTGTAGTTCACATATTATTTTGTTTTGTACAACCAAAAAAACATTCATTGTATATTTTGACCATATGAATTTTTTTAGCTTTTTTATATTTTTTTTATCAAATCTATATTATAACTTGATTGATAAATGTTTTGTGTATCTAGATAATTTTTTTCATGCATAAAAGATTTTTCCTATTATTTTCATGTTCATAATCATTAATCAAGAAAAAATAAAATTTTCATATTTTTTATATTTCATAATGTAATGAAGACTTACATAATACTTGATTATATTTCTTTTGAATATGTTTGTTATATTTACTGAGAGAGTACAGTGTTTGCAAAGCTAAAAATTGTGCATAACTTGTCTAGTTTCATGGAGTTTTCAAAATTTGAGTAATATTTTTGGGAATCTCTGCTTACATAGCTCATAAAAACTTGCATAATATATATATTCAGATTAAATTGGCTCAAACATGATGCAAGATGAATTGCATCATTCAATTCTATATAGCACATGAAGTGCAGAAAGTAATGAGAGTTTGTAAAGAACATTTGTCGAACCCTCGTCCAATGTGTTGTTGTATTTATGCCAGATTCATATGCCCGAGTTTAAGGTGCCATTGGTAAGTAGTTAGTTCGTCAGTGTTGACAGTTGAATAACCAGCATTAGCAGAAGCTGCTCGGGTATTCATAGAAGTCGTGTCTAGCCGAATGATTTTATTTTGGATGATGCAGTGAGCAATTGTATTGCCCATCTTGTCATGTATGATGCAATGATCAGGTTTGATCACTAAACCTCCGCCTTGGAAAACTAGCTGAGTTATTGAGAACAGGTTCTTGTGTAGAGCAGGAATGTATAGGACATCAGATATTACCTTGTCCGTGCTATCATTTAGGGAAATTAGAACATTTCCCTTGTCACGAATGGATTGGCAACTGTCGTCAACCAGATAGATGAACTCTTTCTTTGGGAGTTTTGAGTAGTTCACAAATGCATTTTGATTATATGTCATGCGTTGGATGGCATCAGAATCCACATACCATGCTGGATCCGCCCTGATAGAAGAGAATTTGATGACGTACAACCGGTGCTCAACCTTTGCATTAGAATGTGTAGAAGAGCTCTCTTGCTTCTTCTTCCGACACTCATTTGCTATATGGTTTCGCTTCTTGCAATAGAAGCATTTCATCTTTTCGGCAAAAAGATGGCTTTGATGTGGGTTCTTGACGTGATGAAGAGGAAGAACATGCGACATCAAATCTTCTTGGTTGTTGTGTTTGCTTAGAGGGATCACATTTTAAGAAATTTTTGCAAAATTTAAAATTTTGTGTTTTCATTGCAGGAATCTTTAAAATTTTGCTCAAAATTTTAAATTCTCCACAGTGCTTCAGATCAGCACTAACAGTTATCAAACAAATTCGGTCAGTCAAATTTGAAGTCAAATTTCG